CTTCACTGGCTCACCTGGGCTCAATGTATGTGCACATTATAGCTAATTAGTACACACTATATAACAATATGGACTCAAAGTATGTACACATTATTGCTAATTAGTAAACACTATATAACGATAAGAGAAGCACACAGTCTCTCAACTTATTTTAATAAAGGCAGATGGTTATCCTCTCAACATAAACTTCAAATCATAACTGCAAACAGAGAAAAAAAAAAGGACCTAATTTGAAGTCTAGGTTGAAGAGGATAACCCTATGCCCTAAAGATGTAAGGTGAGATTATACTTAACTTCTTTATGTAAGGAGCAGGATTATTTGTTAAATTAACTAACATGCAGCAAAATTTACTACTTTGTTAGGTATTAAACAATTATCCCTTGGAAGTTTGGACAACAAATATACCCCCTTTGTGAGCTTGCATGCATTTGAAGTGATACCAAGTTACTAACACTATGATTGGATAACAATTGTGAAGGGAAAGGGAGGGGAAAGAAAAAGAGGGAAGGGAAAGTGAGGTGAGGGGAGGGAGAAGGTGACATTCCATTTACCTTCCAAATCTCTCCAACAATGGAGGGATTTGGTTTATTAAATGAAGGAGGAAAATGGATCCTTCTAATTCCCTCCCCTTCCCTCCCTTAGATATCCAAACAAAGGATGATGCATCCTTCCATTTCTCTTCTCTTACTTTCCCTCCATTTCTCTCTATCCAAACATAGCGTAAGGATCCTATGATGCATGTGAAGCACGAATCCGTGATTAATATAGTTAACCGACAATATAGTTTCAGTCAACAAATAGGATACACGAGATGGATCCAATGATAATGCTACATACCCATAACAAAACTCAGAAGATATGGAACTGTATTGTGAAGCTCATCAGGTAATGCCTCCAAGATAGGAAAAAATGGTTTAAGCTGGCTCCTTTCCAACGATGTTGCTATCAAGTAACACAGATGCAAAGCCATCCAAGTGTCAATAAAAGTTGTTAAAACAGAAGCAAGCAAAGATTTGACTAGTATTCATACATCTCTGCAAACTGACCAGGATTAGCAAGTATCAAAACCAAGTCAACCATTGGATTACGAGCAGCAACAGCAAGAGCTAGAGATCCTCCAAAAGAATCTCCGACCAGATAAATAGGCTTATTTGGAGATGAAGCATGCTTTTCCCGAACTACTTGCTCAACAAAGTCCACCAGCCCTTCACAACATAGAGGAGGAGACATTAAGAATTATAATGCTCCTGCTCACAAGAAATATCCACATGTTTATCATAAATGAGTTTCACAAGCTTGCAGCAATCAAAGACCAACATTTACATAAAATACTTTTTCTATATGCATGCAATGCATATGTGTAATACAAAAGCATATGTATGGCCACTTGCCTCTATGCATCATACTGAGAAGAGCTCTACAGACTACAATGCCAAGTCGCCCCACCCCCCTTCCCAAAACTTGAAACTAAGCTCTGCTCTACATACTAAAACTCAACCTCAATTAACGTGTCCTGCAAAAGTGCAAAGTGCAAACTGATGAGAAGAAACATATTTCCCTCGTCAAAGCTCCCTATTTGCGATAATGTGTTCCCACCAAAACTAACTAATTCACACTATATGCAAAGTAGTATATGTATTCCATAGCCTGTTAAGAAAATGACATGGAGTTCAGAGTGTTAACACAGCCATATAAACTATAAGTGTAGGTTAAAATTAGGTCAAACATAATCAACAGAGAAAGCAGAGGCGAAAAAGGGAAAAGAGAGAGAGAGAGAGAGAGAGAAAGAGAAAGCAGGATGAACTTGACAGACTACTACCAAGAAACAGGAAAACAGGTAGAAGTTGCCTAATGACCACGCACTAAGATCTAAGAAGACGATAAAGCCAATAAAAATAACTAGAAACGATAGTACTTGAGCAGAAAACAATTGATACTCCCACTTTTTTTTTTTTTCTCACTTCTTTCTGTTGTTGATGATAATTTGAAGAACATAATATGTTCCCGTTTTTATATGATCTGGCTTCTTTTTTTTTCTATAAATTTTGATTTTTCGATTCTTTTTTTTTTTTTCCAGGCTCAATGAGCTCTTTACATTCCGCGGCTGGTTCTAGAGCGAAACACTATACCAATTGAGACAGGAGCTAAATGAGAAAATTCACAATACACAAGAGAGGAAGAAGTCGAAAATGCTATGAAAATTTGAACTATGGACATTAGGGGCTTTGGAGGTACTAATACTGAATGCTTTAGATGTAGTAATGGTGATTTTGAAAAATCTGAGCAAAAAAAATATGAAAATTAATCACAAGCAAGGGGAAAAAAACTGAGTAAAACTTTATTATGTAGACAATGTAGTACAAAGTAAAATAACTTTATAAGGAAGACTTGTAAAATGCAAGTGTACCTTCAAATGGAGTCCTATCGTTAACAGGAATATGCAAACACTGGACCTCAAACACCCTACAACCAAAGTTAAAATCAGATATGTGGTAGAAGATCGCTGAATAGAAGCACCATATATGCAGAGCAACAAAGCGTGGTTTCTCTATTCCATACCATACTTAACATTATGACTTATATAGCTAATTCAATTGTTGTTAACATCATTTATATACTTGATGATCTATTCTGAGGCTAGAACAAATCAAAATGAAATATGCAAAGAAAATCGAAAAAGTATGCAGCCACATAGAAAAACTTAAATTAAAACAGAAGGATTTGAGCTACACATATTTAATACGTAGTATAAAGATGTAAATATAATCAAGGATTAACAATTTTACAGATCAAACCAAAAAAAGAAACAAAATTAGTCCATTTTAACAATATCTACAAGTATCACAGGATGGTAAAGTATCACCCAACATGTTATCAGATACATTTCATGTGATCTTTATCTTGTACTGAGAATTCAAAGCATTGATATAATCGCAGAAAACTAATTAGACTTACTTCCCCAGGGCCTTATGGTGCATTATGAGACCCAATCCAACACCATCCATACCTGTACACACCATAATTTGTAAAATTCAGCTCAAATTGAAATAAACCAACCATATGACAGTTATGAACAGAATTTATCCATGATATATCAACACGACCTCGCTGTGAAATTAACCTCTATTATCTAGCATCCTAGTTAGCATCAGAAGTTATACAAAGCACACACACAGCAAGGGGCAGGCTGAAGTTACCAGGCAAAAACAAAAGCAAAGGAGAACCCTTCAAAGGGCGCCCGCATTCGACAGGGCTAAACCACCGAGGCGGTCCACCATCCGGCTTGATCATCTCTTTAGCAATATCAAGATAATCTTTCATACTAGCAGACCCATACCCATCATCCCATAACACTTCTAACTCTGCAAAATCAACTTCCTTACCCCTCTTTTTCCCTCCACCAATGCTTCCTACATGCCCATTTCCTCCAGCAATTGAAGACCCAATTTTCTCACTTTCCTTAACAACAGACTCACCCTTAACACTAACACTATCTGAGTGCAAGACTGCTGAGTTCTCACCACCTATATTACATACAACCCTCCCTCCAAACCCAGGTCTATGCCCTAAATTTTTGGGGAAGCTAGGAAATACCCTGAAAGCAAGTATTGATGTCATGGTTCATTCAATTGCCCAAAAGCTAAAACAGTATAGAATTACTTCAAGAACTACAACCTAAAGCCAAAAGTAGCAGCAAAGTTCTCTGAACCACCCCAACTGAAAAGGGACTACCCTTAAAACTTGGAACTCTTAAGTTATTATAGAACAACAGTATGAATGTAGCATTTACTCAAGATTCAAAGGAAACCCATTAACAGAAAATGACATATACTTCAACAGATAGTGTAGTGGGCTCCACAAAACCAAAAAAATAAATAGAAAAATTGATAATTTGAGCAGAAAGAATTGATCTTTATTAGAAGAGTAGGACAAAAGAAGGAAATTGATTACCTAAAATTGGGTTGTGGTAATGAAGATGGAGACATGGCTGTAGGATGGCCTGAAAGAGTGATACTTCTCTTCCACTGAAGTTGCCAAGTCATTGTGGCTTTTGCATCTTCTGTTGTAACGTCATTGCTCGCCCACATGTACCTTCAATTCCCTGTTTTTCAACTATGGGTCTACAAACAATATACGTTTGGTCTTTGCCCAATCAAAAGTAGTCTTTCTTTTCTTCCTGTCTAAACAAGGGTTAATTGTGGAATTAATTTTCTCTCGAACCCACGTAAACGGTATAGGAAGGAAGATATTTATGGATTATCATGGATGTTTCTAAGATGATCATGTATACCAAGTAATTTGATTACCAGTTTTTTATATCGTGGTGTATATTTTGCCACATTGGATAGCCCGAGATGATTATTAATTACTGATCACGTTAGAATTTTCATATTTATAATCAACGTCCTTACATAATAAAAACAAGTAGTATGACCGGGGGCATAGGAATGTGTAATGTTAATGTTTCATTTAGTCCATCAAACCTTCTCATCAATAATAAAAAAAAAATGATTTTTTATTTTACATTAGATGGGTCGCAAAGAAAAAAATTCCTAAAAAAGACAAAGTAATTGATAAATAAAATTATTATACAGTACATCTTTTATTACTAGGTGGTAAATTACAAATTAGGGCCAACCAGCCAACTATACTGGGTGCCTGGGTGGTAAATGGACTGTTCAATCCGGGTCAATTCGCACCAAGTCATATATGGGTAAGGAGGCTTTCGAATAGAACCAACTCGGATATGAGCCAAATAAAATAAGAAGGGTCTAAGTTCGAATCAAATACTTCGTAACCTCAAATTGTTCATGAGTTTTGACTCATTCCCATCCGTAATTGGGGTTCAAGCATAATGAATTGAAGTTTGGACCATATATTCGAAATGTTATAATTTAGATATTGCCACTCAATTCATCCGATTTCTTACATGTTAAGAAGTTTTTGGTTCACTCAATTAAATTAAAGTTTTATACTCACACTGAAATCCCGAATCATATGCACCAAGCAAAAAGCTTAATTACAGAGATTATAATCCAATGAAAATTGTTGGCACCACGCAAATGTGGACCGAAACATCAAAAAAAAATGTACATGGAAGATGAACAAAAGCTTAAGTTAATAAACATATAACAATTAACTGTGCAGACAAATGGACACTGATTTATTTCCAGGACATTTTTTTTCCGTAAAACAGATAGCTTTTCTTCACATCTATCTCCTATGACTGAAACTTCATAAGTTACAAATCTACAAGGCTTTTGACATCAAATTCCTGATTCGATTCCTCTAGAAATTCACAGCTCTAGTGCGTTGGCTCTCTACATGAACAGAACTTCTTCAATTTCGCACGCACACTCCACAATTAAGAGTCGCAGGATTCACAAAATCTCATATTTCAAGCATATGAGCTTCAGACACTGCAACATTTCTGATAAATGGAAAATGTTGATCCGGAACTTTTCAAGAAACTTCCAAGAATGCTTCTAAAATCAGCAATCAATTTCCTTCGCCAATATACAATGAAGCAATCGATATATCCCAACAATACAAGGAACCCATGAGATATCAACCGTGACCTATCAGCTAGCTCCATTACAATCCACTAAATCTGAAAGTCAACCTGCATGTAACATAACAAATGAGGGGAAAGTCAGGCAGACAGGAGCTAATCGCAAGCATATGACTACTTGTGAAGGGAAAGTCTCAGTTAATCTTTTCTACTCCCATTCAGGGCATTCACAATGTTTGTCCAAGTTGAATTTTAATAATGTATAGGAAAGTGATAAAGAACTAACAGAATAGATTTCAGTGAAGCACATCAAGGGAAATATAGAAAGTTAAAGCAATCAAATAGTAGAATTTGTGGACATTTTTTTTTTTCAATTTAAGACAAAAATTTGAGAATAACAACAGCAAAAGACAGTTCCTCAGATGATTTGTTCAGGCCTAATCAGGAAGCACAGCCGCCTATGATCATTCATTCTCTCCATTCTCACTAATGTAATTAACACATAAAACATGTTTTAAAATGACCTCATCATAAATGACAAGAAAATTGGAATCAGCTACAACTACAAGCGCTACTGCATTAAACTTGAAGCAGCAACAACATACAGGCGAGAATCACACAGCACCAACTATGACACCTAATAATTTATTTGAAGTTGAATTAAGAGAGGCAAATCTTCCGAAAATACACACCTGGGCTGGCTTTGGGTAAAGTCACCTTCCCTGCATTACACGATAATTAAGTACCAGATCATCAGATTTTTTCCAGACATAAGCTCGTACAGTCGCCAAACTCATTTCAGGAGATAACACCTGAAAATTACACAGGATAAAAAATAAAAAATAAAAAAAAATAAAATAAAAATAAAAAAAAGTGATTAGATTAAATAGCAAATCAGGTTTTGCCAAACGCTTATAGATCTGAGATATAGTGGTTGGGAAAATCTATCTCTTTCTCTCTCTCTCTAGCAGATCTTAGGTCTTTGTTACAAACTCAACTCAACACTTACTCCCATGTGTGTCGAGTCAACACACGACACCTGCCAAAGTAGATGGCGAAGTAACATAGGACAAGAGCATACCCCTACAGATTCTTTTCCTTACATCAAAATAAGAGTTCAATTCATCTTTAAACAGGTTAAATTTAAGACAGAAATGTAGAGCTATAATTTACTTCAGTTGTAACACACCTGGTCATTGCACAATATTTCAATTGCAGGCTTTATTCGCTGCCAAGGTCTCAACCCCGAGCGGAGAGACCCATCTACTACATTTGTTGAATGCTGCAAGGGTCCTCCAACCGGAGCAAATGTAGCATCCCCAGTCACACCTCCCTCCATTGACTTGTCAAGAACCATCTTTTCAACGACATAATTGATAACCTACAAAATAAAATTGATAAAAACAGATCCAAATCATAAGACAGATTGCTTAATCTTCAAGAAAACTCATTCAGCAAACCATATCCTGGTACATGTTAAATATGGAAAGATAAAAATGCACAAGGCTGGTGGATCAGCTGTTTCCTTGGACATATAGGGAATCTTCTAAGATATACATATCAAAAGGGAAATTACTGTCTACAATAAGACTACTGACTATTGAACCCTGTTGTAGGCAAGGGTATGTTATGGTCAAGAAGTTCATTGCCAATCTCTCCAGCACAAAAACTCCATAACCACCACAGGCCACAGCTGGCCTTGATTAAAGTTGAATATCTAAAGAGTTAAAGAGATCGCACAAGTGCATGATAAACAATGGAAATGTTACTTCTCTCTGTTTTGTTCATTAACGGAAATTTTTTTTAACTTCAATTACGAATACATGATTCACAATCTAATTAGAACTTCGAAGTACTCCCTTCCAAAAAAAGGCAAAAAGAAGCTTGCTCCACCGATAATATTTTATTAAGTGATAAATTTAAGGAGCTCAAATAAAATTTTTAAATCTCATATTAACTAATACTAAAACAGAGTATGCTCACATCACCACTGCCTACATGTCGCTCTCTTAATAAAAGATTTCCCGCCTAAATGCAAAGATGACGTCATTTATTATTATTATTTTTTTTATATATATATTTGTGGAGCTATTATATTTAACATGTTTAAACTTTAAATATTGGGAACTTCCACATTACAACTAAAACCTATCAATTTATCTTAGGAAATTAAAATAATTTTAAATGGCATACTAATAGATCACCTCCTACACTGAAATATGTATTAGTTGACGTTGAATCATACTATATCATAATTTTGATAAAAATCTAAAATTTTAAAATTACTTATTTTTTTGTACAAGGTTTTATAAACGTGCATCACATGGGTTCTAACCTAGTTCATCTAATAATCTAATGTTAGAATCAACACTTCACAATGACTAAATTCCTTTACACAGAATTTGTAGCGGAAGAGTTACTATTGTTAGCGGGATAAAAAAAAAGTCAGCAGAAAAACTAATAGGTCTACCACTAAACATAACACATACATAAATTCATAACACACACTGGATGCTACAATTGACAAGACCTTGACTAAAAAAGCTGTAATACTGACCTTATGTATTCTTAAAATTCGAGGAGCACTCAACTTCCCTTGGGTCAAAATTTGGATAGTAGAGCCTTCATATGGATGCAAGTAAAAGCTACACCTGCAGATATATAGCCAAATGTATCACCATCTCTCCATAAGTAAGCTCAAATGGAACCATTTAGCAACTAAATACTCCAAAGTGCACTTTGACTAATTCAGACAAGCAAACAACAAATGCCAAAGAGAACCAAATAAAAAGTAGTCTTCTAGCTATAGTAAATATGGTTTCATAAATAGATATCTCTTTGTGATGCTATATAGGAAATGAGGAAATCAAATCTCATTTCAATGAACAAATGCAAGGGACAGCAATAAAGTGTACTGCAAATAGAAGGCATGTATCAAATAACCTCTCCACCATAAAATAAGTGCTTAATCTGCTGTTTTGTGAGATACAATAATAAATTAATGATCAACGACTTCCATCTTTTTGAAAAAAAAAATTAAAGACAACAAAATTTCTTGAATTATCCCTCTAAACAAATTTCCAAAATTATACAACATGTCACCGTCTAGGAAGGCCAATTGTAATTCATATTTTTTCACTGTCCTGTTCTTAGTATCTTCATTATAATACAAATTACTAAGGTTGGACACCTATCAAAGCAGAAGTAAGAATGGATCATATAATCTCATATTCTGTGATTATGTGATTATAATTCATTCAATAAATTGATCAAGCTGAAGTCAAACTGATATAAGAGAATGCCAAAGTAACCAGAGTTCTGATGCATATAAATTGTACTAGGTGAATCACCAAGTAGCTTAAGACTAATGATTCCGCGAGCACTACATGCATTAACAAGCAAAAAGGTAGCGGGAATTTACTTGGTATTCTCTCTGGGAGGTAGTCGATTGTTCAAAACACAATCCATAACCCACCAGGGAAGATCCTTTTCATCTTCAGTGCCATCCAAATCAGTTATCTTTTTCCTCCATATGCCCCCTTGAGATCCCTCAGTAATAATGGATGGAGGATAAACAGCAGAAAACTCAAATGGAGGATATATCATTGAATCATTTTCTGCACTACCATCAACCTCAATCCGTGAATGGGTCATACTTCTGGCAGAGATATCTTTCACTGATTGAACTTCACCATTTGCTGACGATTGAGATCCTAATCTTTGTTTTCTTTTTGCCAACCAATGAGCTAACAGGCCCTTAAGTGTTTCTCGAGCAAGGTTAACCTGCAAAATGCCAAAATCCAATTTTCAGTAGTCGGCACCAATGACATACGGTGACCATATTTAAATAAAGTGAGTGACCATATATTTCTTTCATGAAACAGCTGGTTATTCACCCCTCAAACGAGCAGTGTTTATATCAGTAATTAATGCTTTCCAACGCGGATAATCAATCCCCCAATGCTTCTAAAAAAAGCTGTCTCTAAGAAAAATAGAAGGTTTTGAACCCACACATTCTAACCCCAGTAAGAACAGAAAGGATCTACTTTCTACCCTGTTGCCATTGCTAGAACAGCAACTAAGTGCTCAGGGTAGCTATAATAGACTAAAGCATCACAAAACATGTGAAACATAATTGGCTGTAACAGCCATAGGCCCATAACAGCCACTGACATACGGTGACCATATTTAAATAAAGTGAGTGACCATATATTTCTTTCATGAAAAAGCTGGTTATTCATCCCTCAAACGAGCAGTGTTTATATCAGTAATTAATGCTTTCCAACGCGGATAATCAATCCCCCAATGCTTCTAAAAAAAGCAGTCTCTAAGAAAAATAGAAGGTTTTGAACCCACACATTCTAACCCCAGTAAGAACAGAAAGGATCTACTTTCTACCCTGTTGCCATTGCTAGAACAGCAACTAAGTGCTCAGGGTAGCTATAATAGACTAAAGCATCACAAAATATGTGAAACATAATTGGCTGTAACAGCCATAGGCCCATAAAAGCCACTACATACATTGTTGTCAAACTATTCCTCAGAAACCACAACATAGCATTGATTGAATCACTGCAACATCTATTACAGGATGTAATTTAGCAGAGCAACTCTTACAAGCCATTACTATTGTCATTATGCTACAATAATTCGTACACAATATACCCTCAAAAAATAGTAACGAAAGACAAAAACCATACAATAATAAATCAAAAATGAGTCAAATAAGAATTATATAATTTGTTTGCAATTACTGGAACAAGGAGTCATTCGGAAATTATAAACCTCCAATCACCTTGTGAATTCCATAATTTGCTCCGTTCTCTTTTAGACACAACATTTTGACTTTCAAGCGTAACGTTTTGAAAGCTTGCCATGATATACAATAGCATATAATACAAACAGATCAATTGTGGAAAACAAAAATGAAATTTACCTTATCATCCTCAGGTTTCCCAGCAATTTGTAGATCAGCAGAATACATCTCTGCTGAAAAGCATTGTGGTGTATCCAAATGAATCGACAAACTACCAAGCCTGGTATCCACAGTAAACCATGCAGGAATGCTCACCTAAGGAACCAAAAAACATTATTTGGAGAGAAGTAAGCACAAATGGAATAAAGATCTAGTGAAACATTTGATTTCTTACCATTTCAAATAGCTCCTTCTTTTTCTCGTCAAAAGATACCTGTATTAATAATCAACCAAAAACAAAGTATAGAACAGTTGGTAATCCAAGAATGACTAGCAATAAAACAAAAGGAAAAAAAAAAAAACAAAAAATAGCATTGGCCATATCTCTCAACAACTAAATCAGTTCATCACTCAAAAAAAAATGAAGAACCCAAGTAACTCAGCAAGCACATCAAAGTATCACAGATAACATAATTAAAATTAACTCGCATAACCTCGCCATAATCTTCAATCACAGTGCCCCTTGTGATCTCCCATAACTTCACAGAGCCGGCTGTATCCTGCCGTTAAGAAAGATGGATATAATGATATACTATTCTGCTCTCTGAGGCATCATTTAATGAGTAATTGAGTAAATGCCCATCTCAAGATAAGAGGTATGATTACATATTTATATACCTTGGTAAGCACATGCCTACGATTGTTTAATATCTCATGTTGCACAATTGCTGGAACTCCAGGTACCTTAAGTGTTGGCTCCCGATATACTGGAATCTGGCATATATAAATGTTGAGATAAGTAAAAGAGGTCGTTTCATTAGAAAGAGGATCAAAAGCATATTGATTAGGAAAAAACCATTTTACCCTTAATAAAGTTTATACCTAAAAAATTACTTTATATTATATAATAAAAATTAATAATGGATTATAGTTACCTCAAATAAAGTTCAAAGTTACCCCAAATTGGTTAAAAGTCACCCTACAACTAGGCGATGTACTGTAATATTATTGTACATTGAGTGTACCCAAAAGTTATTGTATGTTCAAAGTTCAAACACCTCTATGATATCACCTAGAAAAACATGACCAAATCTATAAGCAGAGAAGCTAGAATGAATAAAAATTATCCCTCAAGTTACCGGTATAATGAATTTGCTATAGATAAGGTCAACCTCAAATGACCAACTAACACAAATGATAATCTACCACAGGTTAGCATATTACAGATGATGAGGATGAACTATTCTTAAATCATTCTTATCAATCATAACTCAGAAAGGCAGAAACTCAAACTATCAATCAGCTTTAATTACTGATTCCTATTTTCAAGATTACCTAAACAACCTTAGTTAAATGGCGTGAATTTGGTTCAGCTCATAATGATCTCTGTCCTTCTAGCCTCGGGCATACCCAGTCAATCAAGACCCATTAATAAACTTTTTCACATGGACTAGAATACATTATTCTAGCTAGTTATAATAAAGGTAAAAGGCTTCATAAACATGTGTTTATAATAACATATTATGTGAGAAATGAAGACAAGTACAAAAAGCATACAGGTGTAGATCCTTCAAGGGAAGCCCTCGCTCTTGAAAATGACAAGTTTCCAGCCAAGAAGGATCCTCCTCGTTGGAACATTTTCTGAGGATTGTGCCCTTCTGCAGGCCACCTATGAACCGAAGAATCTGTACTTGCAACCCATATGCTTTCATCATCAAGTGCCAATTGCAATATTGGGTATTCTTCTGAACAAAGCAAAATGCTTTCTCTAGTGGACAAATCTGTCAAATATAACTGTAAACAGAAAACCCTTAATATGAGAAGACTGCCTAACAAAGAATAGGTAGAAATAGCCAAAGCTTTGCCAGTCAGCACGGTTAGCAAATACTCACAGATTGGTCTCTTCCACCACTGTAGACATGGCTAAATGATGCTGTGCTGGCAAGAGCCCAGACAGAATCCGTATGAACAGCGTATGAATGGACACAACGCTGTTGACCAAGATCCCATAGTCTGTCAACATGGACAGTGAGTGATCAACAAAAACTAGGAAATAATAACTGAAGAAAGAATTTCTGAATAGTACATAACATCTTTGATTCACAAGTAAAGGCATAGGCATACTGCAAAATTTTTGAAGAACAAAGTTTTAATTTGAATTTGTAGAAAACCTAACATAGTATCAGTGATAAACTTAATATAATTGGGTAAGAGACATTCCACCTACTACAACTGGCGGTTTCATTTTTGAAGTTCCAGAAATTTTTAGAATGTCATACATTCCTAAGATCTATTAAATAGTTACTTACTTAATTGCATACTAAGTTAGGTTTTCTACAAATTCAAAATTTGAAGTTCTTTCTTGGAAATTAGTAACCCCGTATATTGCTCCAAAATTGAGACTAAGTATAAAAAAACTCTCAACTTTCACAATTTATCTATTTTTAAGATACCCCATTCCCAGAAGTTAGAATTAATTTCCATTTTGGCTTGTTCCAGAAAATTCGGCCCACTTTCATTTAATTCCAATTTTGACAAACCCCTTTACAACTGGCGGTTTCATTTTTGAAGTTCCAGAAATTTTTAGAATGTCATACATTCCTAAGATCTATTAAATAGTTACTTACTTAATTGCATACTAAGTTAGGTTTTCTACAAATTCAAAATTTGAAGTTCTTTCTTGGAAATTAGTAACCCCGTATATTGCTCCAAAATTGAGACTAAGTATAAAAAAACTCTCAACTTTCACAATTTATCTATTTTTAAGATACCCCATTCCCAGAAGTTAGAATTAATTTCCATTTTGGCTTGTTCCAGAAAATTCGGCCCACTTTCATTTAATTCCAATTTTGACAAACCCCTTTTAATACCTCCTTACCCCTCTTACCCACACTTCTTACAAATTACCACACACTCTCTCTTTATCCACCTTTTTCCTATTACTACATCTTACTTTATCCACCTTTTTCTTACACCCACTCACTAGTTTCAAATTTTCCTATAAACAAGAATATACACGATAGAGTCACACTTTCAGAAACAAACAGAGTATTTGAATAAGAGAGAGAGAGAGAGTATTTCAAGCATACACCCATTCTAGTTAGTAGTTACTAGTCTTATTAAAATTGAATTTTTGACTGATGAGGGATGCAACAGTGGGTGGTATAGTGGTAATGGGGAAGGTATGACAATGTAATGGACTAATGGAAGTGAAGGGTAGCGAATATAAGGAGAGAGGTTATGAGATCATCGAAGTGACCAATTACCAATTTCAGTTCCCCTTGACCCGTTAAAAGCTACTTTTAGGGGCAAGAGCTATCTAAGGTGCGTCATAGTAGTCCTGGCATTCTTGCTAGGGCCACTAAAGAAGATGGATTTTCAATATTGGGGAAATAATCTTGGCATCTTAACTGCCACAATTTAGGTGCATAAAAAAATTTAGAATAACACTTGCACAGTTTAATACACAAGAAAATTGGAAAAACACAGCAGAGAAGCATACCTGATCATAGAATCAGAAGAACCCGACAAGCAATACCTGTATAAAGAAAGGAATATATCAATATAAGCTTGGCATAGGAAAAGATGTCATTCCTTAATGGAAAAGGGAACGACGCGATCCCTTATTGAAATTTTTTGTTTATTACCACATATTTAACAAGTGACTGCGACTTACAGCCTGTTCAAGAAAAGGGGGGCCAATACAACCTTTCAAACCATATACATCAAAAGTACTACCTTTAGCCAGATTGAAGTGATTCAAATCAAGGCTTAACTAGACCACCAAGGTTTCGAGATTGATGATATGAACAAATAGACATCAACATTGATGCTATAACAGATTAAACCATGAATGAAAACATTGAACTCCAGCTAAAGGTAGCATTATATGTAAATGATTTATAAATACAGTAAGTGATAAAAGTGCCTGAATAAAATGAAGTAATTGACCAATTTTCCTACCCAAATTAAAGGCATCTCATCTCAAAATTAAAACAAGAAAATAGCAATCAAATGTCTTTTATGGTTACAGTTTAGATTTAATACAGCATGTTTTTGGCAATGATTTTATTGGTTAAACAGTAGGGGACTAGGAGTGGAGGGTATGAGACTTTCTATATTCATTTATCATCACAATAGGCACCAGCCACTGCCTAGTGTCCTAGTAAAAACAGCGATTAGTTTTGACCCCAATACAAGCTGCACAGCTTTCAGGGCATTACCAAAGCAAACTTATAACCAGAAAGGACAAAGGGTTATTTTATGTAGGCTTTTGTGAAGATACAATCTGAGAATTCAATTTTCACTATAAGATGGTCTAGCAACATCACCACAGAATTAGAAAAAATCAAGAGCCGCTCAAAACCTAACACCTTTACTCCGGCAGGGTCCAGCCAGCCCATACAAAGGCTTTTAAATAACCTAAACTCTCTAGTCATAGATTTCATCAAGGTCCCCGTAAATAAACATGAACATTCGTTATAAAAGCTCTCATGGCCACCAGAAATTGAAAACTATTGCCGAGAGCAAAATATGCTATTCCCAAAATGTCAAGCTGACGCATGCTTACAGCTTCAGAGGACATTCACACAAGATGCATACTTAAAGAGAAGCATGAAAAGTATTACCACCATGTTAAATCCAAGTGAATTAGTGAATAAAGCAGTGAGACACTTCCCAAAACAAGATTGAGATGAGAAATATGCATCAACATCCAAAATTAAACGCTGACAGAAGGGGGAAAAGGTCTCGTTTCTTATTGAAGGGGGAAATTTAAAAGGCGAGGCATCTTACAATTGGGATGAAAATTGAATAGTTCCTACAGCTAAAGTCCATCAAATTAGAAGCCAATTAAATTAAAATTTTGTTAACATGTCAAGCTAAGCATACTGGAAATGCATCATCTTAATGAGTGGGACAACCCATAACTTCTCGTTGCAATCAATAAAACTTGTTTCAACAATGAGTCATGACCCAGGATGAATCAGGTGTAGAATGCATCGACAACTACAAGCAAAATTGAAATATCTATAGCAAAAATACAGCTCCCTATCAACAGACCTGCCCGTAGAATCCAAGAGCAAAGCCCTGACATTATCAGTGTGTCCCCTCAGCTTCATGGTCTTTGAACCAGATCTTGGGTCCCAAACCCGCACCACCTGAGTACAAAAATGAAGTATTAAAAGAGAATGTGATAAATATATACCTAAATAAAACAACACAGGAAACATTAGAGTGCAGCATGTTCATACAAACAAAGCTTCCAACATGACTATTTGTCAACAGTCAAACAAGAGCATAAATTTTTTTAAAAAGATTCTTTCATGACTTAAAGCGGGTAATTACTTCGCCATATACAATTCTTCTATCCTTTTTACTCCTAGTTTAAGAGATGTAGTAAAGTGATCCTTATTATGCTTGATAAGTGAGGCATGGTAATGAGTGAACTAACATAAGCATCAGTTTACCTTTTCAGTTCCACCAGAAACAAGTATGGTCCCACTATCATTCATCGCTAATGCGTACACCGACTCCTTATGGCCTTTGGCAGCAGTAGGAATGTACCCATGATTTGGAGTAGAATGCAAAGAATTACTGGAATTGATAGTACGTAAACTTGTAATTGGTAGGTTACTCGCGCCACCATTTATTCCATTCGAAGCTTCTTCCTCTGTACTGTCATTTGACTTAGAAACTGGAGCAAGTGCAGCTTCGATATCCCAAACAAAAACCTCCCCACCGAGGCCACCAGAGGAAACAATATTGCTCTAAAAAGCATGAACACTACTAGAGAATCAGGAAATGATAACCTTGAAATACGAAATAATAATGCCAAAATTGCAAACGAGATTATACGTCATTGAGAATTAATGAAATCTAGGATAATAAAAGAATAGCATCAAGCAATCTAGCATTAAATAATTCCAAAAAATAGAAGATGATATTACATTTTTTCCAGCTGCAGCAAGACAGGTAACATAGTCTGAGTGCTGACGCAAAGTCTTCGTGCATACACCATTGGACATGCAATTCCATGTCTGCAAGCACAAGATTAAATTTCAAAACACAAACCTCATCTCAAGAAGGGAAACCAAAACATATAATAAAATAAAGAGAAGTTTGTTAAGTATGCCTAACCTTAAGAGCAGTGTCAGAAGAACAGGACACAAGAGTATGATCACCAACAAGGACAGCATCATTTACCTGCACACATCAAAATTAGATACTTGTGGAATCCGAAGGTATGTAGGAAAATAACTATAAAAAAAACCATAACCAAGGGAGGATGAATGAGAACACCACAATCCTAATTCTTTGCATTTCTACTTTTCTAGTAGGACACATTTTAAGGAATTTTGCATAATAACAGTGCAGAGAAACTCCAAGATGTAACATAAACATATAATGAATCAGAGATGAGGTACCAACAGATCCTTGCGATCAAAAAGAAATTTTTATCTTACAAGACAGGTTAGAGAAATTACCCAATCCACATGAGATTCAAAAGTAGCAGAGCAGGTAGCTACTTGGTCTGCTTCTTCATCAATAGCCCATCTCTTCAATGTTCCATCACGACTACCAGTAAACAGGTGCTCACTCCTACAAGAGCCATTTGACTTCAACACAGCCAAGCAATTTACTCCAGCTGAATGCTGAAAGGCAACAAGTAATGGAACACAATTAGAATGATAAAATACAATAAGCTTTAAAATTCACAGGGTTTTAATAAATGATAAGCATGAACAGGACATATCACAGGAGAAAAGCCATATCATTTATATTAAAAAAAAAATAGACTACATTGAAGGGAAAAAAAAACACATACGGGAAACAAACAACATAAGCCCATATAAATTCAAGCAAAAAGAATAAATGATATCCAATCACATATTGCTTGTGAAAGGTACAAGAACAGTAAAGCCCCACGTAGATGAACAAAAAAAAAAAAAAAGGGTCCTTTCAGCAATGATGTCAGGTAGTCATAAAATTTTGGTAGCTCAATCTCAATCAAATCATTCACAAAAGGGTGAACGGTGGGGGGGGGGGGGTGAGGGTGATATGGAGTTCATTAATGGCTTCTAAATAGGCAGGGAGGAGGGCAGGCCCGGCCCTTAGGCACCTAGGCGATGCAGGCTGAGCAGTGGCACAGGGCCCAAATTTGTCTGGGAAGGCTCAGGCTAATAATCTTTATAAAGTATTTGCTGAGCATAAATATAAATAGATAAGCTTTGGTTCAGTGGTTTGAAGAGACCATTCACTTAGAGAAGGTCCAAGGTCATGAGATCGACTCTAAGCCAACCTGTTTATAGATTTTTTTTTTCCCGTTTTGCTTTGCTATTTTAAATTTTAAATTATAAGGCAATTAATCAGTTTGTATTATAAAATACAAAATAAAAAAGCTATCAGTGTTATTTTTTTGAAGCAAAAACGCTATTAATTGAGTACTACTTTCTTAAAACTCTACAAAGTGCTACCTTTTGTTGTTCCTATAACTCAATGATATGTTCACTTTACCTAATACGTAGTAGCTACTATCCAAAATTCTTGCATTTATATGAGGTTCAAATTTAATTAGATGATATTTATTTCTAAATCACTAGCTTACTTTATCTAGCATTTCATTAATAAAAGAGCCCAGTTTTATTTCAATTGCACAGGGCCTCTATAATCATTGGGACGACCCTGGAGGAGGGGAGCATCTCTCATTTAGGCGATGAACATCCTTTTTTATTAGAGGCTTAAGAAACAGTAAAAAAAAAAAAAAAAAAAAAAAAAAAAAAAAAAAAAAAAAAACTTATCCGTAGAGAAGACAATGAATCCCACATTTAAAACAGGCATGGCAGAAGCTGAATTGCCAGCAATAATCCTAAAAATGTAAAGACCTACTCTATCTGAGGTAATGTTTCAATAAGTTGGCATTGCCATTCAGACAGTTGATGGTAAAAGTTTACACCACGACTGATGGTGAGGCAGAGGAGAGATGGTGTTCAGGGTAACAATTTCTTTTTATTTCTTATTAGTTCAAACAAAACCGTTTCTATTCAATATCACCTTAACACCGTCAACTCTAAAGTTGGTTTGATGGTAGTCATTTAAGGATTACTGCCAAAAGGTTATCAGGTTGAGTAATCTTATATGTATAATTCTATATGAACATGTATAGATGTATTCATATCAGGTGGCATCTCACGTGAAGCATGGGCAAGTAATTAATAGTTGGAGAGAGCCAAGTGGCAAATTGAATTAATGAGCAACACCTTTTAGTATAATGCTATGGATTCAACAAAGGAACTCATACTTATAAGCATTCCACTATTTTGGGCAACAGATTTCAGAATGTAACTTGTATTAGAGTAAACAAACAGACAATTATACCAGACAGTATCAAATCCATGACCAATACAAGTAAAGTTGCACGAGAATAACAAGGGACAAATAGAAAAATTCAATTAAAATGAAATTTAAACCTTGTATAAAGTCACAGTGATGTACACACCTTTGTGTCATCAGAAGCATTGAGGACATATGTCAATCTCTTCTCCTTACGAGGACGATTTGAACCAGATGTATTTCCTGCACTACCAACTCGATGCATCGCAAGCCCCTAAGCAATATTTTGCAGCTATGAGCTACAATATATATCTCATGAACAAAATTGTCTTATATTCGTCAAAGCTTATCAAACTCTCGACTAAGAAATAAAAGTTATGGATAAGTTCATAAACTCGGTTTAACCTTTATCAAAATAGTCATATGAAAGCACATTGCCAATACCCACCCCCTCCCCCACCTCCCACGACTGAATTTTTTTTTATAAAAAAAAAGGAATCAAACACAAATTACCATGTACACTACCTTATGCATTTATCAAAACCAGCTCTTCAACCTACATTGCTTACCCCAAAATTCCCATCATATGCATCATATTCTCTACATCTAAGTCCAAGAAACTAAAATGCAACCTTGTCCCAAAGTCCGCTCTAAGACATAGGCCATACTCAATAGCAAAAAAGTCAATCCCGACCATCAGCATCTAATTCAACTTTCTATGGTACTAAACCAATAGAACCCACACCAATTGCAAAATAGTAACCTTCTACAAAGATGCACAAAAGCCAAGTCTTAATTTTTCCCTTACTTGAAGATAATAACTTTATAAATGGTAATCGAAGAAAACAACTTTATTCTATGATTCCATTGGGGATGAATTTAAATTCGGGCGAGCGTAAGGAAAACGACTTAATCCTACAATTATATCAGGGCTGAGTTGATCAAATCAAAAAGCAAGCCCGTCCCTGAGCGAAGCCAGGGCAGGCGGGGCGGCCGCCTTGTGCCGATAGATAAAAGGTTTAATGTTCATAGTTTCTTCCTAACATTAAAGGGTTACATAAACAAAAACCTGCAAAGAATTAGCAATCAAATTGACTCAATTATCAAACTAGGCTCAAAAAAATTACGTTGAATTCTTCTCGCTTTATAATATGATTAGGAAAATTCAATCGACGCAATAGCTCGTTGTGATCTTTCATAACCTAAGTTTTATTAACGAATAGTTCAATAATCAACCTTGGAAGAACCCTAAATTGACTATACTAACAATTAAATCAACGATTAAACACTATATTGTGAAATTGATATTCGATGATTGAAAAGATAAAATACCTTACCTCAGAAGCTGCTTCAATGGAAGAGAGAAAGCTGAGAAGCTGCTTCAATGGAGAATTGAGAGTAGGCTTCAATGGAGGAGAGAGAGAAGAGAAGGATGCAGCGAGACAGCGCAAACGTGAAAAAGCTACAAACGAGGAAAAAGGAAAATCGGAAGAAAAATAATTAATGACACTCGTATTATGTCAACCGCATAGATGTCAAAAATTGACCCAACTCGATAAATTTATATCGAACTAGTATGTGTGTTAAAAATTGATCCAACTCGAAAAATACTATCTCAAACTAAACTATACATGATATGAGAAACCTATAAGAATTAAGAACCGAACATGTTTAATACTTTAATGATCGACTTGAAGAAAATTGAAACTGATTAGATAATTGTCAATTCAAAGTCGACCCGAAGTTGATTCCTAGTTTAGCTAAAATTATTTAGACTTGATGGCTTAAAAAAAATATTTAGACTTGATAAATTAAAGAATTTTTTAGAAAATAACACCACAAAATAGCCAAAATTTTGATTATAACACCATAAAATTAGAAACTTTTATTATAACACCACAAAAAACCAAAAAAATTATTTCAACACCACTTAACAGATTTTTGGACAGAATCCGTTAAGTGGGGTCCATATTGCCACATGTCACCATATTATTGGTTAAAAAAAAATTAAACCCAGCCCCACCACCACCACTGCCGGCATCCCAACCCCAGTCACAGGCACTCCTTTCTTCTCCTACCCCAGCCGCCGGCGCTCCATCCTAGCCTAGATGGGCCTACGCACAACCCTAGCCAACCACAAGCGCTCCCTTCCCTACCTACTACGGCCACCACTACGTAAAACCACCCCCTTCCCCCACCCTTGAAACGGTAAAAAAAAAGGGTGGTTTTCGGGCTTTCGGGCGTTACGGTCGTGGTTGGGATAGCGTGTTCAACTTTCAAGGCTAGGGTGTTTCAAGGTGGATGGTTTTCGTTCGTGGCTGGCTGGGATGTTTTAAGCGTCGGTTGGGCTTGGTGGATGGGCTCGGGTGAGGATGTTTCACCGGTGATGGTGGGAGAGGCTTGGTTGGGCTTGTGGCAGAGGGGCTTACGACAGAGGAGTAGGGGTGGTTTCGTCAGTCCGGGGTGGTCATCTTGGGGAGCCGACAACTGAGAATGGAGTAACGGCGGTGGAGGCTGGGAGAATCGGCGCCAGTGGTGGCTGGGGTTAGGAGTTTTGGTTTTTTTCTTTTTTTTCTTTGTTTTAATCAAATACACGTGTAAAGTGTGGTGCCCACTAACGGTTTTTTTTTATGGCGTTAGAAAGTGGTGGTGAAATCAATTTTTCTTTTGGTTTTTTTTTGTGGTGTTATGATAAAAGTTTGAAATTTTGTGGTGTTATAATCAAATTTTTGGTTATTTTGTGGTGTTATTTTCTAAAAAATTCTAATTTAAAATCTAAGCACAATCCTTTGGCCCAACTCAAACTCGAGGGCTGCCTAACTCCTAACCTTGATAAGTTTATAGAAATTATCAAGGGGTAAATTTGCAATTGCATATTAACATCAATCTTGCTCCCTTAACAGCTAGCAAATATGGACGAAAAGTCTACACTTTGTAAACTGAGGGTAACGGTGGGTATCAATACTAACTTTGCAATTTTGTTTTACTTTATTTATTATTTTATAATACAAAAGTTCTTTTTATTTTCATATTTGCCACTTGATAAGCTTAATTAGAGTTAGCAGTTAGCTTAGGGGTAAATTTGCAATTGCATAGTAACACCAATCTTGCTCCCTAAACAGCTAGCAAACAATATGGATGAAAAGTCTACACTTTGTAAACTGAGGGTAACGGTGGGTATCAGTACTAACTTTGCATTTTTGTTTTTTTTTTCTTTATTTATTATTTTATAATACAAAAGTTCTTTTTTATTTTCATATTTGCCACTTGATAAGTTTAATTAGAGTTAGCAGTTAGGAATTTCCTCACAAACTCTACCTTAAACTAATTTGACCCATCCGATTTTATTAAACCATTTAATTTTCCATCGTTTTTTTACCTAAAATATAACAAATGGAACCGCTTTTCGTTTCACACAACTTAAATTTGGTCTGACATATTTTTAACCCCACTTCTTTTAAGTTAAATTGATATTCTTGTTGTCCTTAAGTTAAATTGATATTCTTGTTCTCCTTATTTAATTTATTACTGTTAGGTTAAAGTATTATCTTTTAATCTGATTTTTCATATGTACCTCAATCAATTTCATGTTTTTCTTCAAAAAAAAAAATACAAAAAAAAAATGTAAATATTTGTTATTCTTATTACACATAACCACATACTCGTAATACAAATTTTTATTTTTACCTAAATTTAATAATAGTTTTTATCCTTATGTGATTTTATGTTTATGAAGTTGAAAGAAAATATTGACTACCTGATTTTTGAATATCATATATGCATTTTATTTCATATACTAAAGCCTTGGAATTCTTAAAACATTATATATGAAAATGTTAAATTACTAATGAATATGTGTTAAAAAAAAATACTAATGAATCTCAAGTAGGCTAGAAAAAATACAAGGCACCATTTTTCAATTAAAAAAGGAAAATGTTATACATAGTAATGTAAGCTACATGTAAGGAGCTAAAAGTGAAAAAAAAATCAAAAAAATCAAAAAATAAAAAAAAAAAATAATAAATAATTATATAGTGCTTTGCACGTAATGTTTTCATATATTTCTAAACTAGGTTAGTGCCCATGCAATGCACGTATTTAACCCGTATTTGACCAAAAAAATTAATTTTGCGTAAATTAAAGCTATGTAGTATTAAAATAGTTTTAAAAATCAATACGTACAAAAATAATAATAATGTTTGTAGGAAGTGGAAAAGAAAAACAAACAAAATAGGATGTAATATGATAAGATGAGATTAAGGTCCTATTTGGTAGTAGCGTTTGAGGTAGCGATTAGCATTTTGGCTAGTCAAAACACTTCTAGAAAAAATTTGAGAATGTTTGGCAAGGTAACAAGCGGTTCTAGTAGCGGTTAACGATAAAGGTAGCGTTTATAGCTAGCTTTTCTCAAACGTTAAAAATAGTAGCGTTTAGAAGTAGCGGGTAGCGTTTGACCAGATTCTATTACTTTTTAATTAATATTTATATGAATTTTGATATATTTTAGTATTGCAACCGCTACTTTTGTCAAACACTCGTACTATTAATCGTAACCTTGAAAGCTAACCTTTACCCACTACTAGTTGACAGCTACTCGCTACCTTAACAAGTACCCATTACTCGACCGCTAAACCTACCCGCTACCGCTACTTTTGCCAAACAAGATCTAAATAGAGGAAAGGGAGTTTAGCTGATAGTCAGAGCAATCTTGTAATTTTTGAGGGAAAAGAAAATAATTACATCAGTTTATTTTATATATATACACCGCTAATGTCATCATTGTCTACGTGTCACTTTTTTATTTAATTTTTCAGCAGACACAAATAACCTCTTTAGTAACCCCACTTAAGTAACCCCTTAAGTAACTCCACTCAAGTAACCCCTCAAGTAACTGATAGGCCGTCGTCGAGCCTACCAAAGATAATAATTCCTATCTTGGTCTCACTAACAATAGTAAGGGTAAGAAAGGGTCGAACCCAAGAGAGGCGTTGAATCAACCACCGAGTACTACCGTTTAAATAAGCTAAATGAATTCTATATTGGGTTGGTTTTGAGTAACTTCTTCTAATTCAACTCAACTAAAGCTAAGAGGAGATTAACAATATTAAAAGGAATCTAGGGCTTGGGTTATACCACTCAATTTCATCACAAATCACAATTAGCATGCAACAATCAAGGTAAATTAATGGGATAAATTAGGGGAAGTCATCTAAAGCACCCAACTACTCTCTCAAGCTAGAGGGATTACTTGAATCATGAATACAACCTACTCTCGTGGTTACATAGCATAAAACAAGTGTTAAGCATAATCACGATGACATAAACATTCCCTTGACCGGTAATCCCTATTCTCATGGCATTTCGGGTCAATCAAGCATAAGGGAGCTAACTCAAGTTCATCTCTCGATCCTTCGTTGAGAAAGCTTGGATAAATAGTTCTAGCAATGGCCATATACAAGAACTAAGCAATTAAACCACTTAAGCTCAACTAATTAACATCCCACAACAACCAAATTAGCACATGCAACAAGTAATTAGTGACTACATTGAGGGTTTTGCCCAAACCCTAGAATTTAGACTACTCACAATCCATGGGGGTTAAAGCAATTAAAGATTTCAAGCAATTCATGAACAAATTCAAACTAAGGATTAAGCTAATTAACAATCCAAAACATGCAAGAACTAGCAAATAATTAACAACAAAGTAAAGAGAAGTAGAAAAGATGAGTAAGAAATGGTTACTATGAAGCTTCAAGGTGAGCAACAATGGTGGATTTTGTCTTCTACAATGATTGAATTTGAATAATTCAAGCTAATAATTGAGAACTAACTAATGATTTGAGGATTTAATGTTCTAAGACTACAAACTAAGAGAAAAGCTCTGAAAAACTGCCTCTCCCGTACAAATGAGCTCTAAAGGGGTATTTATATGACCCCCAAATAAAAAGGACGGAGAAAACAAGGAAGGAGTTCGACTGCAGGTCTGCACGGACGTGCCAGATTTGGCACGGACGTGCAAGGCTAAGCACGGCCGTGCCAAGTTTGGCACGGACGTGCAGAGGGGGCAGAATGGAGGCAGGAGCTTCTGCCAAGGTCTGCACGGACGTGCAGCTTTTGGCACGGACGTGCAGACTTGCACGGACGTGCTATCATCTTGCACGTCCGTGCAGGATGCCCTGCCTAGACTGCTTAACTTTGGGAAGCTGTAACTTCTACGTTTCTTGTCGGAAATGGACTTGTGACCAGTCGTTGGAAAGCTCTTGAGACGAACTTTAATCTCCAATTTGAATCGCTTCAAAAAGTTGATAAGATCAAAAGTTATGGTTGGTTGAAGTTGACGCTTACGCAAACGACCTTTCAAGGTTCTCCAAAAGCTTTTCATTTCCCTTTAAGGCATTCCTCCTTCTTCCTCCATGGCTCTATCAACCAAGCTTGCCCTTATCCTTTCTCACTCATGCTTGATCATTTCCATAGTGCTAAAAATAGCTACATTACATCAAAAACACAAACAACCGGTGAAGCATGCATGGTACAAAATTTGCATAAAAATAGGATAAAAAAATGAACTTTGATGTCGATTAATAACGAAAACAAGGTTCAAAAGTACCCTAAAATCATGCCAAATAACAAGTTATCAGTAACTCCACTTAAGTAACCCCTCAAATAACCCCATGTAAATAACCCATCTAGTAACCACTAACCAAATAAGTAACCCCTAGTAACCTCTAACCAACACCACCGACGAACAAACCACCCACGACTATCGGCGATTAAAATCGGAAACCGTAACCCTAAATTCTGCAATTCCATCTTCAATTGAAAATGGTGAAGCTCTGATTATC